CACCGGTGATGGGCCTACACGGCCATCGTTTTAGGCTGAGATGGCCGGGCCCCATGGACAAAGGCACGGGCCACAAGGCGCCCAAAACCTTTGCCTGGTTCCAGGGTGGGGCCCTTGTTGCGCCATACTGGACAGCGTCACAGTCCTTGTTTGTAATCTACTCATTACTATTCGTAACTCATGTCTATTTCAGCAATATTTCAATAATGCACATCCTGTTTTACAGCCAATATGTAAAAATGAATTAAGTTGTAAATATTAGTATGCATGTAGCTGTGAGATGGCATCTTGCGTTTTCTACTAGTGCTCTGAGGAGGTTAAGGTGTAGTATTGTCCCTGTAGGAAAATCTGTCCTCTGCTGTGACCCATCCTACAAGGCCACTATCAGGAGCAGCGGTCACTACAGGACAGAGCCTGGGGACAATGCCTTTGGCACCGTTCACTCTCTAGGAATTAAACGAATAAAACATTTTTTTATTCATTTTATATTGTCTTTAAAAATCAACATATGGTCAATAATAAATGACTGATCTATCCCCAAATAAGACTTTGTCTAAAGAATAATATGTGTGGTAACAGACAGACCTCACTCCTGGTTGGCTCTTTAGTTTCTATATAATTTATTTTTGAAAAAAAGAAAAAAAAGAAACGTAGATCATATGCGTTATTAGTGCGCCTCCTAAATCTCACCAAGAAAGTCCTGGGTTCAAATCCCAGTCGGAACAGGGCCTTTCTGAGTGGAGTTTGCATGTTCTTCCAGTGTTTCCCCTACCGCTAAAAACATGCACAATAGGTCTGACATGCGCCTCATGCACTGGCGACCCCGCTCTCACCTCTGTGTGGAGTGAGGGGAGAATTGCCCACAATTGTAAACCACTTTGTGACTCTGGTCTGTGTAAGGCGGTATACAAATAAAGATTACTTACTCACTATCTTAGAAAATTCTAAAAAGAACTACATAGGTTTCTTCAAGGAGTGAATGTTAAATGGTTAAATATAAAACTTGTTGGCCCTTTAGAATACAACAAGACGAAGTAAAGTAATAACAAATGAATTACAAAAAAAAGCAACAAAAAAACTCCTAAGTTAATAAAAGTTGATTATTCTTTATTCACACTAGTTCAGTCTGCAATCTCCCAACATCTTCCTGCTTCTGTTCTAGTAGATAAGACCGAGTAAATACAAAACCAATCTGAGCGGACTATTTCAATTGCTCCCTTCAGAAAAGTGTTGACAGAGGCCACACATTCATTTCCACACTCATTGTTTTCCATGGTCCTTCATTTGTAATTCTGTGTCCTGTGGCTGTCATTTGTTCCAACATGTGCCCGTACATTATGATTAGTGGTTTGAAAATCTGAAAACACAACCTGGAGGCACTTGCAAAGGTCATACTGAGCTTAGGAAGAGGGAAAACATGCAGAATGAACAAGCTGCTGTTAATGTATGGCAGATTGGCAGAGGAGAGCTATGGGCTATTTTTTTCCAATTGGAGGACTTTTGTCGTGTCCAATTTTAATTCACAAATCATCTGCTTGTTCAAATAAAGGCATCTCATAAAATTAAAATTGTTTATATCGTAACTTTAGACCCATCAAAATGTATGTATGGGGCTGTTTAAGTAATGGACTGTTTTACTGGGAATGCTTCCTTTGAGCTTTTGTCCCTGAATTAGACTATTCCATTCTGATGTCAAGCCCACACAATTGTATTATGAAGCTTGAATTCTTCTTTTCAGCTCATTTTTTCCCCTTCACACTCTATGCAATAAGCCAATTACGTGAATTGCATGTTATTTGCGTCATAGCAGTCAAAGGAGTAATGCAAACTGAAAATATAAAACATTTTAGCAGATGAATTACCAGACAAATCTATACATCTCAACATATTCTACACAATATTTTTTTTATTTTGTCAGAGTTGAAGGAAGGGATTTGGGCACAGCTCTATCGGCTGTTGATCTCCAGAGCGGGTAGCACACATTCCTGCTTCCAGTGTGTTTATGTGAACAGCAGAGTAGCTACGCACGTGCAGGGAAACACACAAGTTGTTGTTTTTTTTTTTTATATGTGATAAGAGCTGTATCATTTTAGTATCAAAATAAATGTTGTGATTATTATGTTGTGATCAGTTCAACTTGTCGGAAATATTAGGGGTGGTCCAAAGTTCATGTAGGGATCACATTTACTCATCTAATTTGCATATTATGATGTCATATGTTGGGGGCATATGTTTATTTGACAGTAATGGTGGATTTTTACAATTTTCATGGAATGTTTTTTTTCTACTGACAGAAAAACATACCACAAGGACAAGACTAGAGAGTTAATAGTCCATCAAGTGCTGTATCATATTTGGATAAAGTGGTCATTATTTGGAAACGGGTCATTTCCGATCCGACCAGTGACTTCATCCGGTTTGTCTCCACGGTGATAAGACAACTTTCTCTCTCCCTGATTGTTCTGCTGTGATAGCCCCATATAGAGTCGACGCTGGGTTCCCTCTGGACAGACTCAGCGTGTTCCTGTTTACGGAGAGCGGTGGGAGCAGGAAGTCTGGCTGACTCCTCAGAAGAGCCGCTGTACTCCCCAAGCAAACATCTCACACACTGTTTATCTCTTTTATGAGCTGAGAGAGGGCTGCGAGCACGCACACGCACACGCACACACACACACACACACTGACCTCTGAGGCCTCTGCAGAGCTTTTCTTTTATGTAAACAACCTCATCGGCACATCGTAAAATTAGTACAGATCAAAACAGGATGGTGAGAAAGTGGAGGCAGGAGAGAGCTGAGTCTGAGGAAATACATTAGAATGTTGTTTGTAAAAGAGGACAGAGTTAAAGACAAATGGGAATGTTTTGGCCGAATTAGAAACTTTTCTTATTATTTTAGCACTTTATATCACTAAGACTTTGACATTATATTGTCTATTATCTTAAATGATAGACTCAATTTGATGTGTGCAATCTGAGTGCTCTTATTTCCTTCTTTCTCTGCTGTAATCATGTAATAATGACACTGAAAGTTCTCCACTGCGAGACGAATAAAGGTATATATTATCTTATCTTAATGTATATCCTAACTATCCAATTGATTCATGCATGTGTTTGTAATCCTGTACTTCAGATATGTCGTTTGTAGTTAAAAACATTTGATTATACAGTGTGCACAATAGACAACAACACACTGATCTCCATTCAACACTTTTGATGATCTGTTTACTAATTGTATACGGCCAAAACTGTTTGTTTAAGGCGGCCAAATGCCAGCTGTTGGCAGGTCGACAGTTTTTATGATATAGCACTTGTGTAAAACCAAGCAGACTCAGCTCAGAACCAGAACCAGTCAGAACCAGAACCTTGGAGAAACTGCCACAGAATGTTGGTTTCTAAAGTGACCAAAAATGGCTACATTTTATTTTGTATCATTCCAACAAATGGAGCAGTCAAACAGACTGCTCTGGGAATTAAAGGTAGGTACTACTCAAATTGTCATAATAGATTAATAATTTTACGATAATAAGACATGGAAATAAACTATGTATAGATAAAAAAAATGAACAAAAGCGCTTCCAAAACTAAACGATATCTCTGTGAGTTTGGTGTTAAAAATACTTTGAATATAACACAAAATCGTTTCCTTTTTTACAATCCTTAATGTTGCAATCACTAGGAGGCATTACCACATCCAAATATCAATCCATTTCCCAGCAAGAGATCTCTACTGAAGCCCAGGGGCGACCCCTGTCAACTTTAGAATGAGGAATGTTCAAAGATAATCATAAGCTGCTGTAAGAACTTTTATAAGAACTCCTTATTTTGGGCCAAAAAAATAACATGTTGTTAGATTTATGTTTATTTGACAGTATTGTAAACCACACACATCCTGAAGCAAATGAATCACAATAGTAATTACAACTTGTAGAAAAGACTTTCATGTTTGGCTTGACTGAGTTCATATAAAATCTCTTGTTAAACAGTAAAGTTAGTGGAGTAGAATTTATGACTTCTTTTACGTATTTATTATGTTCCACCACCGATGCCAAACAGAACTGTGTGATTCCTCTGACCAAATGGAGCCGTTCCGGAAGTAAATCTTACATAAAAAAATCCCCAAATGAGTTTCCAAAACCCCAATTATGAATAGTATAGTTTACAGCAGTGTCTCCCAAAGTGGGGTCCGCGGCCCCCTGGTGGGCCGCGAGGGTACTGCAGGGGGGCCGCGGGAGGTCATAAAAAAAATAAAAAAAATAATATAATTATTTAATGTTAAATTTATAATGTTTTGTTTGTAATATTAAAATATTTGTGTTCATTATTTGACTTGAATAATCCACTGTAATCATTTTTGTATTACAATGTTTGTAGCAGAGGCTATTTCCCCAAAATAAAATAACCAGAAGAGCCTATTCTTAATGTTGTCTTCTTGGTTATTATTTTGGGGGGCCACGCAGACCCGTCAGATTTTTAAGGGGGCCTCGGTGTTACTGAGTTTGGGAATGGCTGGTTTACAGGATACTAAAATGTACAGCATTACAGTATGGTCGTTTCAGAAATATAATTTGAATATATAAATAGGCTTTGTGGTCGTTGCTCTCGACATCCACCACAAACAAACTTTCAATCTTTTAATATGAGTTTTTATTTATTGTTCTTTTCATTTTTCTTCTGGAGAGAGCACTTTGCAGGACTGGTTCTTGGCAATAGTTCACACAAAACACCTGAACTTCTCTAGATTGGTGGTGAGTACCTTTGCTTTTTGCATCTCCATTCTTAATTAATGTCAGCAGTTTAACTTGGTTTCTGGTACTTTCCTCTATATAATCTATGGCATCATTAGCTTTCTGAGTCGGGCTCATTAATAAATAATCATAAATGAAGCAGGTAATTACTGAGGTCTGAGAGGGGAGCTAATAACCAGGGGGAAAATGACTACAGATTGCCTTTTGCATTGTTCCTGGTCATAAAAAACCCATTGCTTCCCATTTGGGCTCACTCATACGAGGGACTAAGGAACCAGTTAACAGTTTAAGGACTTTAGATCCTGCAGGTTTGGGAGCCCTCACCTTTAAGAAGCATTTTCATAATATCATGTATTTGTTTGCAAGCTCCAATTAAATGCATGATACACTTGAGTAATACTTTTAAGGTTAAGGTTAATTGTTCATGGTTGTATATATATATATATAGATATATATATATATATATATAGGTCAGATTTAAGTGCAGGTTTGCAATCATCTCTTGTATTAAGATTTCCCAAAGAATAACACATTTGAATTGGACTCAAACTGGCAAAAAAAAAACTAAAATCTCTAATTCTACCTCACTATGTCCTTTGCATAAATATGTCTAATTACACCATTTAAGCTTGGACATGTTTGTTTATTGGGCAGACTGTGTGCTACTAATTTAGTTTTAGTCATCTGGTAATTAAATCTTTCTCCAATAATGATTTGGGTTGTGATTTCCCAACTCATTCTTGAAGTTAGGCAAGAATATAATCACAATATTTGAACAATTTAGAGACAGACTGGTTCCAAATGAAGAGCTGCATATAAAGTGCCAAATAAGAATCCATTTTTTTGTTTTTTTAATACTATTTTAATATATTTTTTCATTTATTTCAATGTTTGTTTGTTTTTTATTATTATTATAATAAAAAAATATTATTATTATTATATTTGGTGTATAATATTTTCCTTTGCATTATAATTGTTGCCTGTTATGTTTTTGAATCATGAACTCTAAAGGCAGAAAGAGTCGTGTAATTGTGTGTGGTACCTGGAACTGTCCCGTGTAGTGGTCTTCTTCAGTGCCCTCTCTGCCCTCCTTCAGTGCAATGAGAGTGAAGCCCCTGAAATAAGAGGGGCTTTGTGCCATCAGGACCACTGCGAAGAGACACCATCAGACCATGAGAGAAGGAAGACCAATTTTTACATTAGGTGGTTATTCAAACAGCTGTGTGGAACATTGATAAGGTTGTCAACTTATAGAATAACGGGTCTGGAGGTAGCAAAACAGGTGTGAAAGTGAAAGTCCTGAGTGGAGTATTTGGAGGTGAAACTTCCCTCAAATCTGTCCTTTAAAGGAGTAGTATGTAAAAATCTGGCCAAAAATGGTACTGCAACCTCTCCCACTCTCCCTGACTCAGGTTGCCAGATATGCAGACGAATCCAGCTGGGAACAAAATATCTGAATAGACAAGAGTTTTGTCAACAACAAATCTAAAACAAACACCTTTTTCACAAAGGCCTCGATAGAAATCATGGTATTATTCCTTGTTTTGTTGTTAATGATTTGAGAATTATAACAAGATCTTTTTTAGTTCTGCACATGTTACTTTACCAGTGAGATTAGCTCTACGCTGTGAGTTCTGGCAACCCGGATTACGGATTTTCTGATTGGTAAAACGGTGGAGGGCGGGACATCAAAATGTAAACAACAACAAGATTGAGGGGCTGTAAAACTCATTTTGAAATTGGAATATCTCTGAACTGTTATCAGTTAAAAAAGAATTCGAATAGAGCATGTTTTATTAATGCCTTTTGACAGATTAGGTTCATTTAATGATGATTAAACATTAAAGTATTGCTACTTTAAGACAAATATTCGATCTTTTGAATGGAAAAGGGCCCTCTAACTGTTGCATGAAATAGGAAGGTGAAACCCATGGGCTTGGTAATTAATCAGATTTTAATCTATTGTAATGAGATTCAATCTTGTGGTAGTAAAATAGTAGAGCAGAGTTCAATCTCAAGGGTGCACACTTTCACATTCATGTTAAAATGGGACTAAACTGAAATTACACTTGCAACAAAATCAGAAAAAGGACAAGGACCAAAACCAGGACCAAACTAAGTCTACCAGGAGCAAACCAAGTCTCCATTTGCGCTCATGTGGCCCTGTGCCTGAATGTGTAAATTATAAGAGATAGAAAATCACGAGTCGAACTCATTGGCCTCCGTAACCTGCAATAACCCGACAGTAAGATGGACTCAAAATGAGCTCGGGCAACAGGATAAAACCCAAGAAAAGACTTTTCAGACCCGTGTCTGGAGTCAGGAGTGGTGTGAGAAATAGAGGTCAAGTGGGGAATAGTCCGACACAAGTGAACCTTGAAATTCATGCATTGGAACACAGATTTTTTCATTTTTTATATATATATTTTTACAGCTTGTGAGAAAGCTGTATTGCATACACATTTGTAAAGTGTGCATACTTTACTGCAGATGCCCCGCCTGGAACCTTTTTGAGGCAGTGGGTAAAGTGTCTGGAAGTGCTTTGTTTTTATCCACTCTCACAGACATCATGTGTTATTGGCTGTTTTCGAAATGACATTGGGTTCACATTAGTATTTCAAGTCTTATGAAGAAGAAAAAAATAGAAACGCTTACATTTATGGACATTGGTGATCTGCCCCTTATGGACCAACAGCTCTAGGTGTTTTATATCAAATACGACGATTTTGCAATGTCGTCAGAGATAACTACTGTTAATTGGAGTTGAATTGAAGTTAAAAACCCATTTATTGCTGTGTTTAATCCCACATCTTTGAAATGTTCAAGTCGTGTGATGAAGTGAAGGAGGACCCAAAAAGCAAAAATGCAAAAATAATTACAATAAAATAAAAGTCCAGGATAAAAACAAACCAAATCCAATCAAAACTCAGGAATATAGACAGGCAAAGAGGAGCATAGGTACATATAGACACAGAAAGAGATTAGGGCGAGGCAGAGAATCAAGACAGGAAGTCAAACTAAAACAAAACCACAAAACTAAAAAATAAAACCACCAACTACATAAATGAAACCCACACCATGACACAGTTAAACCCAATGATAGATTACAGATAAAAAACAGCACCCAAACACGAATGAAGCAAAAACACAACGCCATGCATGTTTTTGATGAGGGAATACTGATTTTTTAATATATATATTTTTTGTATATAATCTGGGTGCTTTTTAAACAATACTAAAAAAATCTCTGTAAACTGTGTGGAACGTTGGTGGATAAGCAACGGCAGCGGCAGCAGTTACATGCAACAAATTAGCCTCCACAGTGACAGCCCCATGTGAGCAGGACACTGGTGAGTCTGGGCCCAGCGTGAAGATTGAGCTGTAAACACGAGCCTGCGGCCAACACTGAGCGGCGTGGAAATCTCCCACTGCGACCGAGACACGAACGCAACCGTCCTCCAGAAGCATGTGAGGAATATACTTTACACTTTACAGACTGTACTGTTATTTACCCTGTGGCGCCAACATCGGGGTAATCATCAGAATCAGAATTATTATTATTATTGCCATTGAGAGTAACAGGAAGTCGCAAACGAGGAAATTTTCTTCGGCTCTCGGTGCAAACAAGCAGAAATGGAATAAGGTATGCATAGAAATAGAAACAAAATATATCATTATTATAAATTATTAGTGTGATTTACTGTGTTTTATATTCATTAGTGGTATTTTTTTGTCATTATTATTATTTTTCGGAACAAGCGATGTGAATTAGCTTTGTCTATAAGCGCAAGATTGTCTATGTTTTCTGAATCTGTCCCTTTATCTGTTTCAGAAAGATAGATATTTAAATACTGCAAGCTCTGTTGAGCACTATGACAAACAATTTAGAAGCACGTTCACTTGAAAATAAAAAATAAAAGCACATTTGTGATTCCTATTCTTTGGAAAGAAATTCTAATTATTAGCGACATGTTTAGTTATTTGGCTGAACGTGAAAAATCCTTTTGTCTGTTTTTTTCTTTTACAACTTTTGTTTGTGCTTTCTTGCCGTTTTCGTCATGCTTGTATCATGTGTAATTGTTTGTCTTAACTGTCATTGCTGAGCTGAGTAAACGCAGTCCTCTTTCTTAATGTTTTCTGTCTGAAAAAGCTGATCTAAAGATGTGACAGAGGCCAAATATAGAAGCATGAGAAAACAGATAGAAACAAGAGACACGTCCATCTGAATCTGAATCTGGAAAGTTAGGTGCACTAGCTTTAATTCTCCTATTGTGGGAGATAGGAATTATGCTGATGCGGTGCAATATGATAAAGCCACCAAACAATATCATTCATACGTCCAGACGCTTACCGATAATCTAGTTCAAGGTACATCAAACATGAATTATCCAATGTCAATATATAGAATTTTCAAGAAATCATTCATTTACATTTACTTATTACAAGATTGTACATTATTCAAACTTGAAAAAGTTGTGGGAGAGAGAAAAATCATGTAAATTCCCGCCCTGTGATTATCATATTTACAGATTCAGATTCATTTATTTGCCATTTGCAGTAAAACCACATTGGAATTCATTAGCAAAAGTCCCCAGTGTGCACAAGTACAGACATAAAACAACATCAACATATACCTCTGTGTGTTTGGATCTTTTGTATCAACTCTTTAGGCGCCAGAGGTTTTACCCTAAGGGGCTCAATTTTGACATAATAACTTAAAAGTGAAACAAGATAGAAGCTTTATGTGAATTAAAGAAATTATTAAGGATGGCCCAAATTGTACGTAGGAATTAAATGTACCCATCTAATTTGCGTATTATGACTTCCAATGGTGGTGGCGATCGTATATTTCCGTTAAATATATATATAGTTAAGATAAGATATGGTAAACTTTATTGATCTCACAATGGAGAAATTGTGAGATCAATAAAGTTGTTTACAGACACACACACATCACTAGACATGAACACACAAACAGAACTCACATTGTACTTAATGGTCAGGGAAAAAATAAAACAGTGGGAATTGAATTTTGACACCCTGCTGGACACAATTGGTAGTTGTAAACAGTACTGCATATTGTCAACCGTGGCACCCAGAGGATTAAGATTTTTGTATGCATGTCTATATAACTATTCTTTTACTTCTTTATCACTGATGTGCACTATATATCAAAACAAATTCCTGGTTTTGGACTTCCTGTTACTTACAATGGCAATAGAAAATCTGATTCTGATTCTGACACAATGACCATTTAACAGGCTGTAACAACTGGAGTAGAACGTTTCCTTGACGGATTGCACTCCGCACAGGTTACAGCTGATTAAGTCTCGGCCTTGGTAAAAAGAGGTGCCAGCCCGAGTGTTTCCAGAGCCAACCTTGGTGCGTTTCATGTTTGTAAGTTTAATTGGTGAACTGCTGTATATCACCCAAACAGCGAGGAAATAACAAGTTGAAGGAATTGGGTGAAAGTTTAGCTGTGTCTGCTCTCGGGCCAAATGTTTTCCGTGTGTGACCGGTATTGGGGCTTTAAAAGTGTATAATTGGAGCCAGATCTGCAGTGTGCATGTGTGTGTATATGTGTGTGTGTGTGTGTGTGGAAGAAGAAGAATGTTCAGGTCCATGCAGAGGACAGGAAGTGAATATAGGTCACATCGGAGTCTTAAGTGCCTTATCAAACCGGGATTCTCTACAACAACACTGACAGCTCTGCATGTGTGCTGTATGACACATGACACGGGCTGCCAATGCCACTCACGGAGCAGAATTTTTGCAACATTTGTGAGTGTTTCAAAAAGAGCCGCAATAAAGAGACCGATATAGAAGTTGTTGTCCGTGATGTATTCTTGCCACATCTGGCATTTAAAGGTTATTTGTGACATACCGTCTTATTAAGGCAGCACTGAAAGAACATTTCTCTAGATTGTGACTTCCTGCAACTTATAATAGCAATAACAAATTTTCTGATTCTGATGCGAATAGGCTACAGTTGGTCTAAACATAACCTTATTGTGGGATATGAAAATAAATATTGGTTTAATTTCACATTTGATCACGTTTTGATTAGTTGCTCACTGTGTTACCATTGCTGTGCCATGTTGAAAAGCAGTTTGCCTATAATAAGGTTAGGGTTAGTTTCTCCCATGAATAAAGGCATCTGATTGGTCAATCCTTACATGGCTTATGTCTGTATTCACATGGACATTGTCACAATATGGAGGTTGGATATTTTAGACTTGCTTATTTATTACGCTAAAGCTATAGAGGTTATACTTTCTTCTTTATTTTGTTAAAGTTAAGAGATTTTATTGTTATTTTTGTATAGAGTTATTGTTCACTTATCTTTTGCTGTATGTGCTGTAACTGGTGATGCAACACAGACATTTCCCCACTGTGGGAGGAATAAAGGATCTCTTTATCTTTAACAATATAAACACCAGTATCATAGAGAGCGCTAAACCCCGGACAAGCCCTAACTCTGTAGCAGTTTTTTTTTTTTTTTTTTTTTTAATCACGCTACTTTTACTCATAGGAAAGTCATGTTTGGCAGAAAATCGAGTAGTTTATCTCAGCCGGAGAAGTTTGGATTTCTTTCGTGGAAGTTTGAGCAGAAGTTTTTCCCCGGTCAGACCCTGCAGCTGCATGCAGACTGACCTCTGTAGGTGCTCCCAGGCGTGTACGTCTCGGGGTCTCCCTCCACGCGCAGTCTGAACTCGTGGTGCCCGTCCCGGCGGGTGCCCTGGGTCTGTGCGCGTAGGATGCGGCCGCAGTAGCCGTCAGCTCTGCCTCCAGACGGCTCCTCCACGAAAGTCACGGCGTTGCACAGCAAACTGGAGCCCAAGTAGTACCCGAGGATCAGCGGAAGCACGCACAAACCCATGGTTCTCCTGCGCAAAAGCTCAGTCAGACTATAGAGAGAGGAGCGCCTGGAACGAGTGCATCCTGGAGCGAGAGAGGAGCGCGTCTGCAGCCGCTGCTTGTGCACAGAGGAGAGTGGAGGAAGGCAGCACTGAAGAGACAGCCCACTCTGCCACCACGCTCTCCCTCTCTCTGTCTGTGTGTGGGCATGTGTACGTATGTGTGCGTGCGTGCGTGCGTGTGTTCAGATTTTGACGTGTTTTGTCGATTTTTTAACACTAGGTCTCCCAGAATTATGAAACTACTAAAACTCCCAGAGCTGTCATTAGGCCGAAGCCCCGAACGGGGAATGGGCCTATTGTTTTTGCTCGAGAGATGTCAAATTCTGCACTTTGAGCCTTAATTTGACCCCCTGAACATGCATGAAAAGTTGTAAAATTTTGCCCAAACATCAGACCTGCTGAAATTTTTTATATTTTTGGTGTTTATTTTTATGGGACTCAACAAATGCCAGAACAGCGCCACCTACAACAGGCAATGGGAGTTTCAGAGGTCAAGTTTGTCGTAGAGCCATGAAATTCGGTACACATGTTCCTCAAGTCAAGATAAGACCAACATGTTATCATGGCTCCGCCCTCTGACAAACAGGAGGCCCATACATTTCACTGCAAAATGGAAAAATTATTCGCAATAATTTTCATACATTTTCATACCTCCTCGGCAGTTTCACCGATTTGCCTCAAAATTGCTCCAGATCATCTCAACACATGTACCATCAAGATGACCAAAGGGATTTTTGATCAGTGAAACTTTGTTTGAGCAGCGGAGCGGCAAAATGTGAGTGTTTTTTGAACGTTTTTCACAACATTAATTTTGCTCCCGTTTGCACAAACAAAGTCTGATTTGCACAAAACTTGAATCCAATGTTCAACTCCAGGGTTTAGGTCAGGTGAAAGTGAAATATTTGAAATTGGCCCAATAGCGCCCCCTACAGATTGAGGCAAAGTTTTACATAGGGTGCCAAACAGCTCTAATCATCATATTCATTACAATTTGACTAACGTTCTTCTATGGCTATAGCAACAAATCATCACACGGCAGCCCCAACTCCTTTGCGCGGTGCTGCGTGGTACGGTGTGGTGCAGCGTAGTGCAGGGCGTTGTGGAGCGGCGCGTTGTGAAGTGGCGCGTTGCGGCTTGGTGCGGAGCGGCGTGGTGCAGATCCGCGTGGTGTGGGGCGGCGTGGTGCGGGGCGGCTTGATGCATGGCGGCTTGGAGCGGGGCAGCTTGGTGCGGGGCGGCTTGATGCGGGGCGGCTTGATGCGGGGCGGCTTGATGCGGGACGGCTTGGTGCGGGGCGGCTTGATGCAGGGCGGCTTGATGTGGGGCAGCTTGGTGCTAGGCTGCTTGGTGCGGGGTGGTGCGCGCGGTGCGGCAAGGGCCGTTTAACGCCGCTTGCGGCTTTAATTTTGACTGCTCCCATTCAAACCAATGGAATTCCAAGAAATTCCACCAAAAAAGTTAAATTTTCGACAAGTTATTATTGACCATACCTTTTACTAAGAGTTTAGACTGGTGTAAGTAAGTAAGTAATCTTTATTTATCTTTATCTTTATATCGCCTTTCACAGACCAGAGTCACAAAGCGGTTTACAATTATTTTGTATTTAGCTTGAAAGACATCATAGAAACAGAAAAAGTCAAAGTTATGAAGACCAAAAATTCACATAGGCGCAGTAATTACACGCTCAAAACCAAAAGAAGTCAAATTCTGACTGAAAGACCGGCCACAGCTCTCACCCGTCCAGAGCCAGCCAATCACACAGCCCCGCCAGCCTCTTGCCAACCCACTGGCAGCATTGCGGGCAGTTTAAAAGGCAGCCACTTCCTGATAAACAGCGCTTCTTGAGGCTCTTAACACCCAGTGCCTCCTCAAGCTCCTGGTTCCTGCCCCGGCTCCTGCTCTGGCTCCTGCTCCGCCTAAGCCCCATTCACACCATGCTTCTATAGCCACCACCAGTGCTTGACCCCGGGGGATCTGAGATACAGCAGCACATGATCTCCCCTCTGCAAGTTTCACTGCCGGCGTCAAATTGTTGTTAGCAATATTCAATGATCATGTTAATATCTGGAAATCTGAAAGCAACGATCAGGAAGTTTAGTCTTTTTTTTTTGTTTTAATAAATTGATCCAGTGAAGCACTCACTATCAGACATGGTTAAACAATCATGCTCTAATTCCACAAGAAATACAAAAGAGCAAACAAACATATTAGGAAAAATGACAGAACAAAGTAATTATAGAGAAGCAGTTTGTGAACTGTAGCCCTTAATAAATGAACTTTGATTACACTTAAAAATAACAAAACAAAATAACTAAGCGCAGTATAGGTACACATTGTTATCACCAAAATGCAAGGTTTTGAAAGATATTTATATAAAAGCATATAGTGTAATGGGATGGTAATCAGAGGTAGAGGATTCGGCTCAAGGAGGGAGTGGCAAGAGACTGGAATAGATGTGGCTTAGCTCCAAATATTAAAGAAATAATAAATTGGCAAACAATATTTTGGCACACAAACATAGACAAGATCAATGAATGGCCACTCAATTCAACTGTCATCCAGCAACTACACAATGCACAATGTTAAGCACAGAGTTTACATATATTACCTTATTACTATTGTTAGCTACTTTTAGAATTGTGTATTTAATTGTTTTGTTTGTATGGTTGGAAGCGTTTCTGCTGCTAATGCACACCTGACTTTCTCCTATGGTGGATCAATGAAGTATCTATCTACATGATTCACACACGACCAAAAGTAAGCTAGCTAAAGTTAGTCGAATTCAGCAACGCAAAACCTCAACCGCCACTGTTCATTAAACCACTCTGTTGTGGGTGAGCTTTCGAACCCCAAAGCAGAGGGAGGCCGAACCAGTTCAACAAAAGTCTTTAATTAACCAAAAATACAAAAATACTCAAAATGAAAGGAGCAGTGGAGACAGGGAGCAGGCCGGCCGGAGAGCAGAGCGAAGACACAAGGACTGGACGAGCACAGGATCTGGAATAGCAACTGGTAAGTAATCCAAAAAGCAGGTAGGTAGCGAAAAACCTGTGCAGCACTACCGATATGACGGAATTATCTGGCAGAGGAGTGATGAGCAGACCAGGTTCAAATACTGAGTAGAGTGGAGTGAGTGGATGCAGGTGTGTCTCGTCAGCAGCCCAGCAGAGACCGGCCACGCCCCCTGTCTCACACATGCTCTGGGAAAAGAACAAAAACAGAATCATGACAGTACCTCCCCCTCAAAGGCTGCCACCCGGCGGCCCACCGGGCTTGCCAGGATGCCGGGCATAGAAGTCCCGCAGGAGATCAGGATCTAAGATCAAAGAGCGAGACACCCACGAGCGCTCCTCAGGACCATACCCCTCCCAGTCCACCAGGTACTGTAAACCACGGCCCCGGCGCCGAACGTCCAAGAGCTCACGCACCGTGTAGGCCGGGTGATCGTCAATAACCCGGGGGGGCGGAGGAGGAACCGCCGGAGGGCTCAGGTCGCTGTGAGAGACAGGCTTAAGAAGGGACACGTGAAAAGAGGGGTGCACCTTCAACGAGGCAGGTAGCTTCAGCCTGACCACCGTGGGGTTAAGAACACAGTCAATCTCAAAAGGACCAATGTACCTTGGGGAGAGCTTCCTTGACTCACACTGCAGGGGAATATCTCTGGTAGACAACCAGACCCGCTGCCCCGGCTTGTAGTCAGGTGCAGGGACGCGACGACGATCTGCCAGCCTGCGATTCCGCTCTGCTGTGCGAGAAAGTGCTGCCCGGACCTCGTGCCATATCCTGCGTGCCCTCCTGAGGTGGAACTGGATCGAAGGTACACTCACTTCTTTCTCCTGAGTTGGGAACAGGGGAGGCTGATAACCGTAACAGGCCATGAATGGTGACATACCCGTGGCGGAGGAGGTCAGAGTGTTGTGAGAATACTCAATCCAGGGGAGAAAAGTGTACCAGGAAGCAGGATGAGCAGCTGAGACACAACGAAGGGCAGCCTCAAGGTCCTGGTTAGCCCGCTCTGTCTGGCCGTTAGTCTGAGGATGATACCCCGATGACAGACTCGCGGTCGCCCCGACTGCCCGGCAAAAAACTCGCCACACCTGGGAACAAAACTGAGGACCCCGGTCGGAGACAATGTCTTGGGGAATCCCATGTAGCCTGAAAACATGTAGAACCAGGAGATTTGCTGTTTCGAGAGCTGAGGGGAGTTTAGTGAGGGGAATAAAATGTGCTGACTTGGAGAAACGGTCCACAATTGACAAAATGGCAGTGTTTCCTTCAGAGGGTGGTAGACCGGTAACAAAGTCTACCGCGATGTGCGACCAGGGACGGTGTGGAATGGGCAGAGGACGGAGCAGACCGGCAGGTGGGCGGTGGGATGCCTTGCCGCGGGCACAGAAAGAGCAGGCCCTTACAAACTCCCTGGTGTCCGTGGTCATGGACGGCCACCAGAAGCGCTGCTTGATCAGTGAGAGAGTGTGATGAACCCCTGGGTGACAGGCCACCTTAGAGCCATGACCCCATTGGAGCACAACAGAGCGGGTAGAAGGAGGCACAAACAGGAGACCAGATGGGCACTCAGCTGGGACCTGAAGGTTCTCTTGGGCCTCCTGCACCACCCTCTCTATGTCCCAAGAGGCAGCTCCGACCACGCACGAGGAGGGTAGGATGGTGTCCTCACTGGAGTCAGAAGTGGTCACCGCGGAGAACTGGCGGGACAAAGCATCAGGCTTAATATTCCTGGATCCTGGTCTGTAGGTCAGCGTAAAGTTGAAGCGACCCAGGAAGAGGGCCCACCGAGCCTGATGGGAATTAAGCCTACGAGCAGAGCGAAGGTAGGAGAGGTTCTTGTGGTCAGACCATACCAGGAACGGCTGTGATGTGCCCTCAAGCCAATGCCGCCACTCCTTGAGTGCAAGAACAATAGCCAGCAGCTCCCGGTTTCCCACGTCATAGTTTCTCT